ATAAGTTAAAGTTGAGAATAGAGTCATCATCTGACTGAATAACGAGCCTTGGGTTCTAAGATCCTTATCTTCACAATGTCAAGCTTTTACGAACTTTGTCTTATACCTTGACTAAATAGACACTTTATTAATTTTAAAGTCGTCCGAAACCTGGTGGCTAGCTGTAAAAACACGATTAATCTCCTATATCGCTAGCTGACAACCAAATCAATCAAATTGTTGTAATTACCAATATTCAATTCGGCAAGAAAAGTGCCAAATTGCCATGTTGTCAAGGTATAAGACGGAATTGGTAATAGCTTGACATTGTGAGGATGCCTCATCTTCAAAACGTTCCAACTATATATTATTATCTTGGATATTTTGGACAAGGAAGTTATAATAAATAGAGAAACTTCACGCCTTTTATATTCAACGAATCATTTTTAAAGGGACGGGTAGGCCAACCAATCATACTTTATCTGGGCCAATCAGTAATAGTGTTCACAGCTCACCGTCGAAATTTGGGCCATCAAATCCATGAATGTCCAGAATTATCTGCGTTTGAATGTTAAAATGGCGACTTAATTGAGATACTCTGTGGTATATATAGAAAAGATATATATGAAAATAATGAGTAAAATTCCCAGTTAGTTAAATTTTCGTACATTTCTAGTATTTCTGAAGACTATATTCAAGACTCAAATCAACCCCCCAAAATGGCGTAACTGTCCCTTTAACAATGGCATTTGAGTGACATATGAAACCCCAAATATTCTACACTCGCTCTTCTATCAGTGAGGTTAAAAAGAGTCTTATTTATAGGAAATAAGCAGTGACTGATTGATAATAAAACTCTTCAATCAGGAAGTTATAAAAGTTGTTGAGGTTTGATTCAGGCGGTAAATGAGAAATAATGCAAGAGTCTGCTTCAGTCTAAAAGACAATTTAGTTTAATTTCAGGGAAGAAACCTTAAATGAAAAATAAAACGGTCTTTACACGAGACGTAATCAAGGAAGCCCTATGACGAAACTCTGCTCTTTTCAATGACTTGTATGTTGAAGTATGTTTAGAGTAGACTTTGATAATCACCCTCTATACTGAATAAATATCGCCCTAACTTGTAAGAGTTTACGTAAGAAAGCAATCAGTTCTATATTCTAGAGAAATTTGAAATAGGCTAGCCAAACAATATTGAAAATTTCTCATAGGGCAAAGGTGTGTACAGAAAGAACAGATATAAAATCAACTTCACTGATCTGATAAATACAGTCAGAGCCATATGAGAGTTATTTTGCAAAAATTCCATGTACATTGGATTTTAGTTTCAAATTGCAAAAAAGCCATTCACGTTCCTTATGGATATGGCCTCGACTTTATATTTTACTGCACAGTCGTATTGGATACGTATCAATGTGGACAGGGAAGTTAGTTTTCAGATCAAGTGTTAGTTCAAAAATTGTCAATATTGTTGATACTGTTTATTCATTTTTAGTTAAGTTAATCAAAATAGTGTTAGTATCTTTTCCAAATTACCAGTCAATTATGAAGGACCCACAGCTTGCTGTTAGTTTATAACTCTCGGAAAAGCATAGACAGCAAAGACTATATCAATAAAATTTCGACAGAATGTTACATTAAAAGCTTACTATCGTTTTGTAAAAACTTACGTGCGATAGGCTTGATTATCAACAAAAATAGCTACATCGACTTTTAGAGGCGGTGGTGTTTGTCGTTTACGTCTGGATATTGGGGAGTGTAAAAAGGGTGACAGTGGCTTGGTTTTGTCTGAAATACAAAATACAATGAGCAAAACATTTGATCATTAAATTTTCACAAGCTCTGACTTCTTATACCTTGACTACAATAGCAACAATTTCTTGTATCTTGAAAGTTTGTAGATGCAGCGATTTGATTGGGCGGTACGTTTGCGAATACGGCCGAGGCCTCGATAGAAAGTCCTTAACAATTAGCCACCATGATTAAAGTCTGTGTGTCGAGAGCTCTGATTGGCTGTATTCTCTGGCGTATGCCGTAATACAGAAAAGGTCGTCATTGCAGTCGGAAAGTTTATAATATCTCGACCATTGTGAAGATGTAACAACAATGCCTGGAGATGTTAATATTAGTAACTCTCCCCTGATAGCTATAATTTTTTCCGTATTCCGGCAAAGATGTTATATATGATAAAGAGAGGGTATTATAGGCGAAAGTCTGTTCCCCAATCCTATTATGTCAATTAATATTGTTTTTACAAAAAAAATGTTATATATGATCAGTTTATACTGAATTAAAGATGACATTGTATTTCTGTAAAAAAAAATCCTTACAAGCTGAAATAACTCCAGTAACCAAAAATCTCCAAAGAATGACAAATCGAGAGCAATAATTGTTTAGTAGTGGACTCCTCAAATGAGAAAAACCATTCGCTAGTTCCTTATGTAATAATTAGAGCTACAAAAATTTAGGATATGTTGAAACTGATATTTTATTATTTCGGGACCCAAAACGTAAACGATGAAAGTTTGTTGTAGCTGGTATTCTAGATCATATTTGGTTCCTAAACGTCTGAAATTATTTGTGCAATTACAAGATGGGGTTATTTTCCTTAGTCCCATAGGAAATGGCTACCGACTGAAACTTCAAAAGAATAGGCTAATACTGTTGTATAAACAACATGTGTTGCATGTATCTATCTAAATCAGGTAAAACAGGATGTACAATAACGCTTAACTTTATCTTCATTATTTCTACACTATCATCGAATTATTTATTGTTATTTTTGTCTATTTTCAGGAACTATGAACCGGAAGAGACCAAAATTTGCCTCAAACAACCAAAACTAGTCAAAATATCTGCAGTGATAATAATTTCAAGATATATCATCATTATTTCGTTTTCTAGCTTGCCTCGTCTTTACACTCACACCAATTTGTACGAAACCTTATTGTTAGATTTATGTGAACTTCTTGCCGTACGTTTTAGAATATATTTCTTTGAACCTAAATGACCTAGTTGACAAAAATATTATGGCTCTGAAACGTTCTGTATGTCATTTAAGGTCATAACGCAATCCAAGCAAAGGGCTATCTGGGTGGATTCAAAATACCGAATTGAATAAAGAACTTCTGAAGTTATTTCAAAAGTTAAAAATTTGCCTCCATTACGCTACGGTCTTGTGCAGAATTTCTACCCCAACTCGACTGTGTTTAGATCCCACAAAGAACAAGCCAATACCCAACAGATCAATTATTAAACCGAAACATCTGTCTCTTTCCACCCTCTGATAGATATTTGGACATATGACAGCTGGTGTAGCTGACAACTGTCAAAATATCTATCAGAGGCTGGAATAGATGTTTCGGACTAATCAATTTTAGATAGACTAATCGGAGAGTCAGTAAGCTTACAGTTAGTAGTGAACCACCCTTTAATTTCAAAGAATGGGAAATTTCCGTTCATGTTTGCTTGATATTCGATACCTAAGTCCATGGCGATCACCAGTTGCGAATAAGAATAGCGGTCATTACCATCAAACGCGACTTTCATGCAACTGAGTTGTGAGTTGCGTTCGCTACCAATGACCACTTTCATTTGGCAAACCATAAGTAACTGGTGATCACTATAGTGTAGGGGCATCATAACAAAACATTAACATTGTACCCGAGATTCCTTTCGTTTGAAGATTTTAATGTACATAAAGGACGCTGACAGCTCCGATTGTAACAGATGAATATATAATTTTATTTAAATTAAATCTGAATTGAAAGCAACACTCGGCTGCGTAATGAAATAATGACTAAACTGGGAATACAATATTTTATCTGTGTCATGGTTGTAGACAATATTAATTTATTGTGATCTTGGTGAAACAAACAGTTCACTGTCCACGACGCTTTCTAAAACAACATGTTCACTCTGACCTTGTTTCTGATTGCCTAATGATTGAATGGCGGTGACAACCTCCTGGTACTGGAGGTACAAATAGGGAGCAATCAGACTATTGCTCAGATATATCGGGTTTTGAAGTGTCTCTAACGTGTTCGATAAATGTTAAAATTACTGTCCGAGGCAAGGTGTCCGAGGCAAGGTGTCTGATTATATCACGATAGTGAAAAGAGCAACTCAACTTCCCTTCAGCATAGTTGTTCCCATTGCCAATCCTATTTTATTCCTATTGGAGTTAACAATGCTTGTTTTGAAATTCTTAGAGCACAAAGACAAGGCATTATTCTTCGAATATCAGGAATCAAAGAGATTAACAAATTGATAATTATTCAGAACGCTCTATCGTACCGGTTGATATTTAATTCGTTGGCATCCTTGTGGTTCTGGCATTGTTGCTGTTGCGAGCTACACAAACATACTAGCCAGTGAAAATATTAAAGTCGCTATGGGGTATTTCAAGTGCTTCAACTGAAAATGTCAAGATTTTTGAATTCCATTAAATATTCCAATAATGTACATCGTAATAACTTTATTTCTACAGCCTATATGTTTCAATGACCAATAAAGAATTATTTGGTTTAATTTGTCTGTTTTTATGACCCCTATACCTGTACTTGTACCGAGTTTCAATCGTTTGTTTGAAATTCAAGCCAGCATGATTCGTTCTGTTAATCATTGCAGGTAGAATCAAACACAGAAAACCCCAAAACGAAACACTTATATCCGTGTTTTGATCAGATTGTCGTTTCGGGGAATAGACTTGACAACATTATTTGGTAAGAACTGCATTAAATATACATATACATATCACTACGATAAAAGTATAATGGTACAACTTATAGCTCTCGGGATAATATGGAAGAGATGCACACTGGCAATAACAAAAGGGAGGGTCAAGGTATGCTCAATTTGGTTTCAAGTTTTAGAACTCACTTTGCTAACAATTATGTTGCGGTTGTTTTGTTTATAAGAAGTTTTAAATGAGATTGTTCGTGTCTCCGGGATACTTAGAGCTACGATTTGCACCATCCCTTATATATGGTCTCTATAATCCCAGATAAACCTGAATAATCTATGACATTACCATTGTAAATATCATTCAACTGGATTACTAGTTTGGATAGAAATGGGATACAAAATTTCGTTTTGTTTGCTCAAATTATTCTCACGAATTTGATCAGTATTTTACTTTTTTTTCGGGTAGCTGTCTGATATTTTTTCGGTCCCACTGGTTCGCCCCCCTCCCCCGGTCTTCTTAGAATCCTACGCCTATGGCATTCCCAATTGTACGACCCACTTTATTCTTAACGAATTAAAAATGTAACTGTTTATTGATTACTATACCTGGTTTGATATGACAAGAATGGTGTTCTTCAATTGGTGTTAACCGATATACATGCTGTTCTGAAGATTCACTGTGACGTCTGATATCACCATTGTCAAAAACAGGTTCTAGTCTATGATTGGTGGAATCAATGTACACGTGACCATCCTGAAAATTTTAAATATTTAATACATTGCATTACATTGTTATCAAAATTCGTAAGCATCTTCACAATGTCAAGCTATTACAAAGTTCATCTTCACAATGTCCAGCTACTACGAACTATGTCTCATACTTTGACTACAATAGACACCTTTATTGCATCTTGCAAATACAGCCAATTAGAATCCGCGACCCATGTAAAAATTGTGGCTTAGTGTTTATAAACTTTCTGACGCGGGCTCTTCTTGCAGTCAAGGTATAAGGCGAAGTTCGTAATAGCTTAACATTGTGATGATGAAGTTGCTAATAGCTTGACATTGTGAAGATGAAGTTTGTAATAGCTTGACATTGTGAAGATGAAGTTTGTAATAGCTTGACATTGTGAAGATGAAGTTTGTTTTAGCTTGACATTGTGAAGATGAAGTTTGTAATATCTTGACATTGTGAAGATGAAGTTTGTATTAGCTTGACATTGTGAAGATGAAGTTTGTATTAGCTTGACATTGTGAAGATGAAGTTTGTAATAGCTTGACATTGTGAAGATATAGTTTGTAATAGCCTGACATTGTGAAGATGAACTTAGTAATAGCTTGACATTGTGAAGATGAGGTTTGTAATAGCTTGACATTGTGAAGATATAGTTTGTAATAACTTGACATTGTGAAGATGAACTTAGTAATAGCTTGACATTGTGAAGATGAAATTTGTAATAGCTTGACATTGTGAAGATGTAGTTTGTAATAGCATGACATTGTGAAGATGTAGTTTGTAATAGCTTGACATTGTGAAGATGAAGTTAGTGATAGCTTGACATTGTGAAGATGTAGTTTGTAATAGCTTGACATTGTGAAGATGAATTTTGTAATAGCTTGACATTGTAAAGATGAAGTTTGTAATATCTTGACATTGTGAAGATGGGGTATTGGGCTATAGATATGACACACATGGAATGATTTTCACACCCCCTTTTTGCACATAAACTTTATCATTATTTTGTACACAAAGGAAATGATGTGTTCATTCAAACAGGTTTTAACATATTCACAAACAATTCTTTATACTTGGACTCATATATTTTTTTGTAATAGATCGGATAGAGTGATATCTGGTTCTGGTATTTTGAAAGAGGGTTCGCAGACAATTTCTCCATTATGTAAATGGCTTAGAAATCTTACAATTGGGGACCAAACCGGACCTTATATTTTGTGTAGGTTTTGAGCAAAACTATACAAACAGTTGACAAAGCCTGCACTGTTTCTTTTGAAAATGACTAAGATCCGGGTGACGAGAAACGATCACCTCCATAACAATTAGTTGTAATGACTGGATAAACACGACTGAGGACCGAGAGCGATTAGATATTGAGCTATATCAGATATAAACCATGTTATTGTAAAATTTACTTAACAAATCATTTCTCAGATAAAACGTTGATCAACAGAATATAATATACGCTATTGGTCCATTGAATATCCTGATATATATATATATATATAACTTGCTGCAATAGAGTATATATCTATATATATATCTATATAGTTAAAGTTACCAACGGAATATTTACTATTTAATACAATGAAGGGCGAATGTAAATTTTTCTAAATTTTTAAGTGTATCAGGGACACTGATAGCTTCAATTTGCACCATTTCCATTTCCATTTCCAATCAGACGTCTGTGGTTCAACTAATACAAAGCGTCATTATCGCAAAAGCTACTTTTGATATAATAAAGACCAATGCGATAATGACTTGATAAAACGCATAGTTCTACTCTGTGACGGAAAGGTGCAAACCGATGCTATCACTGTCCCCGATACGCACAATTTTAAAACACCTCTTTACAATCTCTTTAAAACGAGACTCGACTCTATTTAATATTACAAGAAGGGGTCATTGTATCTCTTGAATCAAATAGCTTTATAAAATACTTTAAAATCAATACCATCAAGCTTTTTAAAATCCCACTATTCATATCTGAATTTAAATGTCACTATAATGATCTATTATATACATGCACTGAAGCGATATAAGTCAGTAGGTAACTTCGTGAGGTCTACCAATTAATACAGGTACAAGGTCAATAGGTCAACGTCTTGTTACATAAATCAAACGATCTAGAGTTTTACGCCAGTCTTTTCAGTATCAATTTGGGTTTTTGAGGGTAGGAAAATCACATTGTGTGCAATGAATCAAAATGTCAAACAATATCATAAGCAAATTCAATAACATATCATGTTACCCGACTGATGAGGGATACAGTTATGTATAATAAATCCCTTAATCATACGAAAGGGATACTTTATTGTCTGGACTGGCCTCTAACAGAATTTTACAGTTACCAAGAAATCTAGTGCCATAAGGAACAGGACCGCGTCTTTCTAAGGTTAGTTCTTTACAAATATACGAAGGACACTAAAATTCTTTTCGTTATTTGGTCGGTCCCATGCCGATTGGGGGGGGAGGGGGGGGGGAACTTAAGTGAATTGTTGAGTCGCTATAGATGAGCCCCCCTGCAAAAAATGTGGCCACTCTGAGACCATGAGCTAGCTATGGTCATGATCGGTCCATCGAAAATACCATTTCCACAATTCAATGTCCAACTAACAAGCAGATTGGTGTAATGGCAGTTTTCTGTGGTAAAAGATTTGTCGGAGCGGTGGCAGCAGGTCTAAAGGGCAGCGAGTTGATATTTCCACTCCTGTATTCTATAAATAAAATAATTTCATGATTCAATCAAGTACCTAACAACGAGCGTAAACACTACACGTATATACTGTACCGGCATCAAATCTCGACCCCTAGTTAGTTAGCAAGCTTACATCTCGTGGTTCACCATTTCCAGTGGTGGATTTGAGTGTTGAATATATGGAAATAGTCTTCAGAAGTACTAAAACTGTATGAAAATCATATAATTCCTTTAAAAATGCCTCAAATTGAGATCTAATTTTCTATTTCTATAGATTTCTAGATATGGTGGTGTTTCAAGAAAAGAGGAGTCATCATTTTAACTTTCAAACGCGGAAAATTCTGAACATTCACGAATTTGAAGCCTCAAATTTCGACGGTGAGCTCTGAACATTATTACTGATTAAGTCAGCTTACAAATTCTGTTTCTGAGACGGAGGTGAATCTGTCCCTTGAACGCAGTGGTTTCCAGGCTGTTTTTGACCGTGTCCCGCCAAAACATCCCTGGGTAGTTGGATAGTTGTTTTTTATAGCCTGTGACACATCAAATCATTCAAACGTGCCCACGTGCACGTGTACCTAAAACGTGACTGAGTTATTACATGGTAATAGAAAATAAAATGTTCCCACAGTTTAAGAAGCTAACTGCATTATTTGTGCAGTATATGCAGAACGAGATATAATCTCAGACCACACCCTATATTTAGTAGAAAAGTATAAAGCACTATTAAAACTCTAAATAAATATCCCTTCTCTATATTTCTTTATAGTAATTGTGAAACTTATAAAATATAACTAATGAATACAGGTTTATCTAACACTATTCTATTTCTTTCTAGTCTTTTGTGCAAGGTGCAGTAAGCCCCCCACCCCCTTTGACAATTCTTCACCCCTCACCTTATCATTCATAGAAACGCCGACGTGTTTTATAAGCTTATAAACTTCTATTTCGACCACCAAATAAAGTTTCAATAAATTCAGGTCAACCTATTTCTGTCTAAGTGAATCATACCCACAGACAATTGTATCTGAATTTATTATCAATATAATGATAGAATTATTTAAATCAGAATGCCTGCAGGTTGGAATAACTGGACGATGTCCTGTATTCATTGTAATAAGTCAAATCAGACTCAATGGCGGTTCTATTGTGCATTATACTGAGGAGAGGTCAAGATTGGTTCTACTGAACTATCAACCGGGCATACGTTACAAGATATTTAACAATTGGAGGGAGGAAGGGGTGGTGGTCAAAAAGGGCCACCCCCTCCCCCATCTCCCCTCCCACGTAGAAACCCCTCTGGTCAGACTCAGATAAACACTAAAAGAAAGCATCATGCTTGGAAAAAGGCAGTTTTCTTTGTTTAGAATGAGGTTTGAGTTGGTGGGGATGGGGCACTTTCGTCTTAATCAGTATGTAGATTACATCTTAATGTAGACAAATGAATCCCATCCATGATCTGAAGGAATTGTTTACGTAGCTAATGTTCTTGGTCTTATAATGTTCAACCAATCAAATTCTCTGTTCAAAGTCTTTAAATATGAAACAAATCCCGGAATATTTATTATTATTTTGAAATTTTGCAGGATCCAAGTAGAAAGAACATGTCTTACGATTTTTTTAAAAAACTTTTGTTCGTCTGAGTTAAGCAAGATTTAAAAAAAAATGAAGGCAAAGAAGGAAATATGGAAATAGGAAGATAAAGTCCGAGCCTGAATCTTCCGAGTCTTTGATTGATAAGCATAAATAATGACTATTTCTAAGAAACCAGTCATGAGACATAAATGAACTTTTTCAATTATAAAAGGCGTGATTAGAGTCTAGCCATCATTCAATTTAATTCATATCACGCTTTACAAATCACACAAACTTAAATACAAACAGATTTTATTTTAACAAAAGATTTTTAAAAAATACATTTTCTTTTAAAAATATTTAAACTGTAATATTGACATAGACCCGGATTGTGAAATGTTATAAATGGAGATTTCGTGATAAAGAGGTTGATTTTGATATTGATTTTAATTAAAACGATTCAAATATTTTGCAAACCAACTGCAAGTACTTAACTTGAAATAGGCTTGGTGCAATCACGATATTTTTATTCAAATTTTACTTCCTTTTTGGTTTGCCTCCATCATCCAGTCCCAACTTTGTTAAAGTACATTTGCGACCAGTCTGGATGTCCGAGATTAGTCCTGGGTAGGATCTAATTGTTTCCTTAAAGGAGGTGTTTAGTCTAATTAAATTATTGATCTACTCTTCTACAGTCAGATTGCAAACTTTGATTAGTAATTTATCACACCAAGTTAAAGTTTTGGATAATCAAGTTAATTATTGATTCGCATTTTATAAAAACTCGGTAGGAATTAAAAACGTTTCAGTTCTAACTGATTGATCTTGCCAATGATGGCATTTCCGTAAGGTTATATAGACTGCCGAGAGTTTCCGTTGATTTCTAGATTGCGCTCAAATTCTTCAGATTGTCATTGAATACAACCAATCAGATCCCTGGACATTGCGACTGTAAACATCATGACTTTCTGTCGAAAACTCTGATTGGCTGTATTCGCCAACATATAATCCAAGCAAATAGTTACATTTTTAAAGTTCTGAGATACAAGAAGAGTGGCTATTGCAATCAAGGTATAAGACGATGTTCGCTTGATATTGTGAAGATGAAGTTGGTAATAGCTTGACATTGTGAAGATGAAGTTCGTAATAGCTTGACATTGTGAAGATGAAGTTGGTAATAGCTTGACATTGTGAAGATGAAGTTGGTAATAGTTTGACATTGTGAAGATGAAGTTGGTAATAGCTTGACATTGTGAAGATGCAGTTTGTAATAGCTTGACATTGTGAAGATGCAGTTTGTAATAACTGGACATTGTGAAGATGAACTTCGTAATAGCTTGACATTATGAAGATGAACTTTGTAATAGCTTGACATTGTGAAGATGAAGTTTGTAATAGCTTGACATTGTGAAGATGAAGTTGGTAATAGCTTGACATTGTGAAGATGAAGTTTGTAATAGCTTGACATTGTGAAGATGAAGTTGGTAATAGCTTGACATTGTGAAGATGAAGTTGGTAATAGCTTGACATTGTGAAGATGCAGTTTGTAATAGCTTGACATTGTGAAGATGCAGTTTGTAATAACTGGACATTGTGAAGATGAAGTTGGTAATAGCTTGACATTATGAAGATGAAGTTGGTAATAGCTTGACATTGTAAAGATGTTTTAACTTCCGTGTTTAACCAACTATTAATTTATCAATATATATATATCAGAGTGATTAAACACTCTATAAACATGTTGGGGTTGGGTTTGAATATTTCTTTTAAAAAACAAGATATTCAAATGATTGAATGGATTAAAGAAATATGTCGGAACACGATTAAAATCAAATTTATTTTACCGCCTTAGAAATTGTGAATACTGTTGAGACGACTGAACTTATTTAATACGAAAAGGATAAGAACGTTTCAATAGAGCAGTTGATAGGAGGTTCAACAGCTTTGTGCAAATTTCTTTACCTCAATTTAAAATGTCATGATGTTTTTTTCGACAGAAATAAAAAGGATAATAGGTGAAAGAGAATATAAAATGTATAAAAATGTCGTCGTCGTGGTCCACGAGCCTAACGAAATTACCCAACCAAAGAACATTGAACTAAGATTTTAGAATAAAACATCAATTCAAATGGACTAAGAAAGAAAAAGTTAAGGAAATGATACTGTGGTAGAAGGGAGTTATTCAAGATTCAAAAATACTTTAGGGATGTCGCAAGATACGGTGCAATGAATCATAAGGTGATAGGAGTGGGTGTGGGGGGGGGGGGGGGTGCGGAGGGTTTAGTAGGGGTCACATTATATTGTCAAGGAAGAGGGGATCACAAGCCATTCCAACTGTTAGGTATCAAATAAGACTAATGAGGTCAGCACAATGAATTGAAATATTAAGCCCGTTTGAACAATTTAAGGTTGGACTGGGGAGGTGCTATTAAGAACAGACCATGTAATTTTGCAATGATAGAAAAAAATACAGGATCCGATCATACAACCAACAGCTACCTAGTGTCACTTACCATTAACCAACCAAACAACCGTGTTTGGGGGACATTTTGCAAAGACGATGTAGCCAATTCTCAAAGCTTTATATCGATACCTTAGAAAATACCCCCATGAATGACATTGGCCATCTCCATTAACTCAGTAAGAATCAGAAAACCACAAAGGATACACCACGAAATAAAACACATGCCTTTTTATCATTTTAAGAATCTATGTTATTTTCACCTCGAGGCTATCCTTGGAACAATTAAATTCGCTGAAAGGAAATCATCAGCCTATGAAAGTAAAACGTTCTAATACACATAATCCCAGTCTGTGTTTATTTGAGGAAACAGAGGCTTAGTTTCCAGTGAGTTGCCCAGTGCCGGTAATAAGGAGAATATTACTAGAGTAATAAGAAGACTCACCAGCAGCCAATACCAGTCTGTTCCATTGATCCTATTAACACACCGGATCAGTACTGAAGCACCGTTCTGTATATCGTGGTACATGGCGGAATCCTGCAATAATTCAATCAAATGGTTGGGAAATTCATAGATATAGACTTTCAGTATCATACATAACAACACATACAACATGTAAGTGAAAGGTTAGGATCGCATGTTGATGAAAAATAAATATATTCAGTACTAAACATCTGCAAAACGAAACCCGAAATATTGGCGAGATACTGGTAGCAACTAATAAATTATTCACACGAGGATGTATATCAATTATGAGTGAGTAAGTATTTCATAATGAAAAGTGATATCAGGTGTCTAGAAGAGTAAGTATACCCTGTCTATTGACACACCCGTAATATCTGCTCAAAAACACACAAATAGTAGTGACTTGACTAACGAATTTATAAGTTCAAAAGAAGAAGTATAGTTTTATATCTGTTCTGTAAGTTTATAAGATATTTAAAAATGGTTATTATAGTGATATAACGTTTCTCAAACTTCTAAAATTATTTCTTGTGGTTAGGACTTAATAAAAAAATAACTGGATTTCTTTTACATATATATAGTTTATTTTCTACACGTGCAATTTGCAATTTAACACACTTTTGACTGCTTGAAGGGCTAAAGACCTTAATAGTACTTATTCTAACGACCCGGTACTGCTTTTAACAAATATAAGGACATTGGGTGTACTTGCTGATACTGAAAACTTCAATTCCACTTTAATAAGTTCCTCCTCACTTTGCAATGGAAACCAATGCACTTATCATCAAGAGTATACATTGTGTGAACATTTTTCTAGTTTAAGAAAAGATAGAATCGAAATAAGCAATATTCAAAATAGTTTTTCAAGCTTCCACTGGAATACTGGTGACGTTATACGTTCTATTTTCACCAAACCTATTTCTTATCTAAAGAATGTGGTCCAGGTAATCACAGAGGAACACAGCCATATGACATCAAAATCACAAATAATGTTGTAAATAGAAGCTATAAGTGTCTCTGATACACATACAAAGACTAGAAAATAAGAATGGTGTTAATAGAAGCTATAAGTGTCTCTGATACACATACAAAGATTAGAAAATCAGAATGGTGTAAATAGAAGCTATAAGTGTCTCTGATACATATACAAAGACTAGAAAATCAGAATGGTGTAAATAGAAGCTATAAGTGTCTCTGATACACATACAAAGACTAGAAAATCAGAATGGTGTAAATAGAATCTATAAGTGTATCTGATACACATACAAAGACTAGAAAATCAGAATGGTGTAAATAGAAGCTATAAGTGTCTCTGATACATATACAAAAACTAGAAAATCAGAATGGTGTTAATAGAAGCTATAAGTGTCTCTGATACATATACAAAGACTAGAAAACAGAATGGTGTAAATAGAAGCTATAAGTGTCT